AACTCTACAGGCTTCAGGAAAATATGTCTGAGTACATCAATATATGGCTGCACATAAATAGCTTCTACAGGGACGGTCAGCAGAAAAACCCACTAATGTTTTGCCTTCTCTTCAGCACCACTGTTCTGATATTTACATGCATTAAAAAATTAGGGATATGCTACATGAAGTGTGATTATTTTTTTTTTCTTCCTCCTCCCCCCCGCGCCTTTACCACAGCTCTCGGGCCCCTCACTAGACTTATCAGTAAAATTTTATTTTTCTTAGCACAATATTGCGCAGCTCATGAGCTCTATAGATTTATGCAGAACTTTGTCGTACCTGTCTCTGTAGCAAAGCCCAAAGGGAAGTAAAGAGAGATCTCTGGCATATTCTGTTCCTCTGAATTAATTCCAAAGCCTATGACAAAGACCACTAATTTGTAATGCTTCTGATTATATTTCATATGAACTTGGTGGATGCCTTCCTGGGTGCATTTACATATACACTTATGTGAGCAAATATTTCTGTGTCTGAATAGTGCCTATATGTGGGTGCAGAACAACCCTGTCTTTTTTTTTAAACTGCCTTACAAAATTGACAAAACCTGAAAGTTGTAGGAGTAAATTGCCACATTTCAAATTCATCTTAAATTAGTAATGCATCTTGTCTCTCACTTGAATGAGCCTATAGTGAGTTATGAGTCTTGTAAATATGTGCCTTGACAGAGCAGAAGAATCCTGCTTGTATTCTCTTGGGCTGTTTTCCACTCATAATGTGCGTGGGCATTGATAGGGAATGTTCTCAGTATTTTAAACAAAAATACCTTAAAATAACCAAAAGAAATCTGGACAGTTTGAATAAAGCATTTCTCTGCAGTAATTGAGGAATGCCATACAGCTAGTTGTACAGCACTTTTTACTGGAGAATTGGAAAATGCTTTAGGGAATACAAGATCTCTGTGACTCAAAGCTGTTTTCTCCATTTCAGATGAAGGAGATGGAGAAATGATTTCATACCCACTGCAAAGCGAATCTGTCACAGACTCTCAATAGGTAGAAATGATGCATGGAAGTTCTTAGTGCTGCCATGTTTAATATCACGTTATTGGATGGCCGATATGCAAAATGAACAGGAAGAAAATTTAACTATAGTATCATTGATATTTTTATTTTTAAAAAATCCCAGTTATTCAAATAATTCAACTTTGTTTGTCTAATGAAGTTTAAACTCTTTTCTGAGAACTGTGCTGATCGCAGCTGTATGTTGCTTTGTTTTTCCAAGTACACACTCAGAAGTGCAGCCACAGCAAGTTGATGATTACCTTCGTACAGTCACTTTAAAACAAGCAAAACATGCCTGAGAATAAATCGGATCTCTTCAACTCTTCTGGAGTATTTGTATGGAGTGATTTCCTTCCCATGCATCGCTTCCATTTCCACAAAAGAGCTCCAATGCTTTTGCAGGTTCTTTTGATCAGGCTGGCCACGATGAAAGCGTACATCTCTCCTAGCAATACCTGTGCCACTTTTGCATTAGGCTTCTGAGAATAAGTGACTTGAAAATTAAGTGGCTGCTGTCTTTCATATGATGATGTATGGGACAAACACCTACAACTCTTCTAAGGGGAAGCACCTTGTTGCAATGTATGGCTTGTGCAGCCGCTGGGTTTGGCGGCTGAGAGCAAAATCTTCCTGTCTGAGAGTGTAAAGAGCATGTCAGTAACATGCTGGATAATGCCAGCTTGCTCCTTTTGAAATGTGCTCGTCATGTGAGGAAGAAGTTTCATCTCTCTTAATATTGTTTGAAACCAAGCACCAAAAAAGTACCTGAATTAGGAGCCCAGAGATCCTACAGTCGACACTCAGTAGAGATATCTGAATTGCTCTGTGGAGATGCCTCTCTCCATCACTTACAGAGCTAGCCTAGGGCAAGCCAGCTCCTAAATTAAGTGCTTCGATAAAGTGTCTGCAATTAAATGTGACAAACTCGGTCTTTGGAGGTGTGTTCTCCAAGGGGGAGTGGACTGGGTACCACACAACCATGCTGCTGTGCAGCCTGTCCTTGGTGCAGTTGTTTTCATCTTTTTTTAATGCATCAAGTGTGGTTAATTTGTTTCTTGATAGCTAATGATTTTTTTATTTTCCCTCCCTTTTTGAAGAAATTACTGGAAAAATTGTCAGATTTTTTAAAGCCATTTGCAAAACATAAGGGAACGCACAAGATAGATCTTAATCATGTTATAAGAGATTGTTACTCTAAAAGGCAAACTATTTTAGTTATATTGTGTTACTGTGCCATTAGTACCATTTGACTGCCAACTGTGCAGCAGCGGGGCTCCAATCAACAGGAGCCTTTGTGTGTTTTCCATTGCAAATAGTGCCAGGGATACAAGGGAGAGAGGCTCTTAGCGGTACAATTTTTTCAGTGATTAAAAATACTTGAGATCCATTTCAGTGATCAGAAATGTGTCTTAATGAGACAATTAGTCAAACCATAAAAGCTGCACAGCAATTTATTTGGCGTTACTACTGGAATAATTTGCTGCTGCTGTTTTCTTCCTCCTGATTTGACTTTATTGCAATAGTCTGGACAAAAGTCACTGTAGAGAGGACTTGCAGGCTAGGTTCCGTTCTCAAATGGCCACGATTATCTGTGGGGCAGATAATCCCCTTAAAAATGAGGGAGAGTTTGAGGGGAAAAAAAGTGGTTATTTCACGTATAAAAAAAATTAAATGCCTCTGTCCAAGTGGCTAATACAGTGCCTTCAAATATCCAGCTGCCTGCTAGTGCCATGGCAACCAATCGCAGGTAGTGTTTGGGGGACGGGTACCAAACTGAAAGGGCTATTTCAAATTTGTATTTATTTTTCCCTTCTGTAACAAAACCACAATAACGGGGCCTGAGATCTCTTTATGCATTCTAGTTGGCTGTGCTCAAAATGCCTGATGGAGCTAATTTTTTTTATCTTGCTGGAAGATCTCTCACTGTGACATTAAAAGTCTTTTCTCATCTGTCTTTCACAATTTGGTCATAATTTTACTCTGAAGCAAAGTCAGAGCAGTTGTTCTCAACCCATACTTGTCTTGAAGTTTGCTGCTTCTCTTTCAGACCTGAAGCCTTGTGTTCCTCAAAGCTTATTTGTATTTATTCTGGCTAAACATGTTGGTCTATTAAGGTTTAATATCTTCCTACAGAACCTCTGGCATTCTAAGTTGGAGATATGTCAGAAATGTCCTCAGATTGATGTTACAGAGGGCACTGAACACAGCAAAACTAGAACTTTTTTTTAAAAAATAAGCTACTCACACTGGTGAGCTCTTCTGCCTGGAGCATTTCCATTGATGTTCATGACTGGCATTCCATGCTCAAGAGGCCTGGGGAGCTTACTCTTCTATTTTTGGGAATAAATTCTGCCCAGAACTAACATTATTTAAACTAACTTAGTCTAATTAATTTGCACTTACCGAAGAGGCCAATAAACAATTCACTGCCAAAGCAGAAAGCCATTTGTTGGTGTCCCACTGACAAATGCAGCGGGGTGGGTTGTCTGAAGCCCTTCCCTGCGCCGAGGGCCGCGCTGGAGCTGGGTGGTGGTGCAGGACAGCCTGCTCGTACGCACAGGCAGGGTCAGGCGAGGTGTGAACTGACTTGCTGCTGTCCAGGGCATGACTGGAGCGGGGCAGGCGCTGAATCCCCAGTCTGCCCTCTGCGTGAATCTCTGCTGCGGAAAGTGCCTTCGTTATCTGCACCAAGCTTAATTGTATTGATCTTCTCAACGTGGTTCAGTCGGAATGTTTTCACTTTCTAGTCTTGTATATCAGAGTTGTAGAAAGCAAAAATGTTTTGGTCTTCTAAGAGACAATACAGTTTCTGTTTAGCTTGACTTTATGAGTATTCTTTTCTCACTAAAGAATATTGGTTTAATGCCTTTGTCATCTATAGGTCATTGGTAAGGGGACTGTATTTGGGCATAGCAATAGCGTTATTTTGATAACACTTTTGTGTTGGATCAGTAGCACCATAAATGCGGTTTGGTTGTTGGTAAGTACAGCTGTCTCCCTGCAGGTTACAGCCAACAGGAGACACCGAGTGACAGGATTTCTTTGTCTTTGGTTTTATGTCAGGTAGCCTGTCTCTCCTGCAGCCACGCTAGAAACTGCAGCTTTGCTGCCTAGTGCTCCTGAGCCTGGAGAACTGCTGTGTTTCTTTGTTCACACCACTCCGTTAGGATGCAAAGACTAACTGCTGCTTACTTGCATAACTAATTATGGGCCAAACTGAAAATTGCTCAGGGCACCACCATTCTGGCATATGATTATTTGCAAACTGCTGAATTTACCTGAGTAGTCAAAAGTGGTTTTAAAATGAAGCTGAGGGTTGAGTCTATATGTTGACAAATCAGAAGCAAAAAAGAAGCTTCATACTCTAGTTATTGGGGGGAAAAAATAGAGAGGAAAAGGCAGCATTACTTTTGAGAAACCTGCAATATCAGTTGTGGTAACACCCAGTCAGCTTTAATCCTGTCCTTAGGGCCATGCCAACTTCCTTCTCTCAGTACCTTTGGGCTAACGATGCACAAATGTTCTCTGGGACATGTGTGGCCAAGTAAAGAGCAGGATTGGCACATCTGTATGAAAGATGTATGGATTGATCATCAGCTATGAATGACTGAAATTATTATCTTTGACATAGGAAACTTTCTAAAAGTTGAAAGGATGAAAGATATCCAGGAGTTTTGTTCTTCTTTTAATTAAAATCAAATTATTAGAACTACATGCAAGTCGCAGTTCTATGTGAATTTGTAATATTCAGGGTGGTAACATATGACTGGTTCTGGAAAAAGTGGTATATTCTTATTTGGTTGACACACAGATGTAACAAGTAAGATTATTTAGAGCTTCATTAAGAGGCCTAGAAGTGTAAAGAACCAACTGTATCCTGACATTTCTAATACCTTTGTAATACAAGTAAATTGTCTGACAGAAAACCAAGGTAAAAAGGGATTGTGTCCCTGTAAATCAGTGAACATTTAACACTGCTTTTCTGGCTTCTCCACAAAGTGGATCCAACTTGCCATCCCTGCCTCTCCCTCACAGTACTTGGACTCAGCGTGGCTCTGCCCTGGTCAGCTGCATAATCTGAGCTTGATTCTGCTTTGATCTGGAGTTGACACAGAGCAAAAAGTGATCGCAGCAGTGCAGGGGGTTCAG